TGTCTAGGGTCCAAAGTGTAATTAGTTTTACCTATATAAGGTGTATCAGATTATTATTATTTTTCAATCAATACAAATCAATATCAAGTTTAATACAGCTTAAACGACTAAAGATGCCATTTAGGCAATATATCATCGGAAAAATTTTAGTTTGCAATTACAACTATCCATGACTAGTTGTAGTGGCTCCATTCAAAATACCCTGGCCATTGTTAGGTCAATTTAAAAAGATGCATACTGCTACCAGTTGAAAGGTCATATAATTTCAGTAAGATAATGAGTAAACTAGTTGGCAAATATTAGGTTAGTTGATACACTATTAATGCCCTAAAGAAAAAATGGGAGCAACAAAAAGCACTGAGGAACAGATAACAAAATGAACAGCATAAGATTACCACATTGTGCTGCAACAAATTGTCCAAAAGAACATAAAGAATCAGAACCTTAGAATGACAATTAATGCAAGCCATCCACATAAAACTTGCTAAAATAATTTATGGAAAAAGTATGCTTTGTTCAACGCCATACAGTATATCTTGGAAGAGCTCGTCATGGCCATCCCACGTTTGGAAAAGAACACCAATTCTTCTTGCTAGAGAAAATCGAACTCGAAAGTCAGGATCCCGGAGCATCAACAGCAGCTTCTCAATCATGGCCTATTTAAAATATACAAAACAGAAACATGACAAACAGCAGAAAAAGAACAATAGTGATGGCCCTGATGGAAGATACCAAGTAAAATAATACAAAAAGGAATGAATCTGGACTTGTGAAGCAAGTACAATGTGGGGTGATTAACATGCCATACTCTGGTAATCACACTAACGAGAGTTCCAACTAAGTGTAACTGACGCACAAAATCAGGGCAAAACATAAAGCAACAAGGATGTATATTTCTTAGATCAACTACCGAGTGGATAGGATGCCGCCACTACTGATGTGGCTCTCTGTCAGAACACAGTGTGACCGTAGGTCACTAATGATCTGGTCCCACCTATGCCCACAGAAAACAAGAAAAACCAAAAGAAAGAAGATATTGTAATGCCCTGACACAAAAAAAAATATCCTGGAAAAAGCATATAAAAGATAAACTGAAGAAACTTACATCATCCACAAAGGTACTAGAAAGGGAAATCTATATTTATCAAAGCAAGACAACCGTAAGCACCTGACTGATTTGAGGATTCAGTAATACAAAGTTGCATATGCAGTCAATGAGTTTAACACGACCAGACCAATCAAATTGGTCATTCTCTGCAATTTTGTTAACAAGATCACCCAGTGGTACCAAACTCTGAGAGTCATTCTCTAGAATTAACTCCATGGAAGCTTGTGATGTGCACTGTAAAACATTAATAAGATTATACCGAAGGTTAGGAAGGCACCCAGTAGCAATTCACAGTGAACTCTAAAAATATAAAGGATGCCAATAAATCAAAACTGATTCAGCAGCAGCAACCACTTTCCACTGAACTTGAATCAGTCAAGCCTTATCAAAATACAGAGGCAGACATGAAACAGAATTGCAATCAACAGAAAGCAATCTGGCAGACCATAACAAATGTGAACAACTTCCAAAAGCATGCATCAGACACCACAAAGAAGCAGCATGCTACTTATCATTCAAATTGCAAATGTAGCATGGCTGTTCAACGAATCATCGCTTCAGCTCATGGCTACATAATATTTCCTGAAGGTAACGAAAGGCATGATTGCATCCATGCATCTACTTTAGTAGTTGCATAGATTTCAGCTATTTAGAATCTTCATACAAAATATACAAATTATTCTCATTGAAAGAAACTGAGGCTGCCATTGACATGGAAGGAAATATATGATCAACAATGACACGAGGAGGTGATATCGAAGGACTGGCTGCAGCTACCCTTTTCGCAATATGATCATGCTGTAACTGCATTCCATTAGCGTTACAAATCACTAGATATGCAAAGCTTTTTGCCATAGAATGAAACAATTTTGCCTCACTGTGTCATAAAATTCACATATATAAGTTTCTCATTATATTAGGAAAAATTGTTTTGCACTTTTGAGGTCTGGAAAATAGGCTCCCATGTAGGTCGGCGGTGGAAAATAGAATTAGATGTCGACTGGTGGACAGGTAATGCTTTTAACAGCTCCCAATCCAATGCAAAGAGAAAATGGAAGGGAATTGATAATCAACTTTTATTATCATCCCAATACTTCCATACTCCATTCTACCCTTCTATCCCAAGTACTGTTTCAGAGAGATCTTCAGCCTCTGTCAAGCAATTGAGATTGCTGGTCATCTGCACGCATACTGCTCCTACACTTGCACTGGTTAGCATTCTCAATTACTTTTCAGTTGCTTAAAGTTCAACATAAATCCTTTGTTGATTCAGAGAGGTGGACACTGTGGATAGTGAAAGAAACGAATAGAGGATTTGACCTAAGGGTGCAACATAGTTGCAGTTGATGAAAAAATTTATTAGACGTCATCATCCTTATGTTTTCTTTTCTTATTTGCATTTTGTACTTCTTATGCTAGTTATTCAGTCATTTCCCTTGCAACATTTCACATCAGTAATCAGTGGATCACACCGTGGTGGTTTTACTAGGTTATCCATGATCGCTAATTCGGTATGTTCTAAAGTTAGGAGCCAACAAGGAATACCAATACCAGTACATTAGGACAGTAATCAGCTTGGGTTACATTTCTTTTGTTTTACATGTGAAAACTTTCTTCTCTTTAAGAAAATTGATTAGGTGAGAATGTACTTCCAGTAAAAGCATCCTAACTTAATACTTTATATGCTTATCATTTAGTGTGCTTGAATGTAAACTTTAATGACATAGATCAATGCACCAAACCTGTTCCGCTGACCCTGATTTGATAGAACGAGTGAGCTCTTTTTCCTTTGGTACTTTGTTTAAGGACATCAACGTCTGTAACAAGCCACAAATAGCAGCCAGTATCTTAGTCGGCTGAAGCTTAACATCAGAAAGCCTATCAACCATATTGTCCAGTGATAAAACCTGCAAATCCACATATAAGTTAAAAGTAGACAAGTAAATATTTAACAGATAAGTCGCTAGCAGTTTACTGTCCTCATTCACAAGCATATAGAATTGGTATCTTTTAAACAGAGAATACCATGTCAGAAAACCCTTGGAGGGAGGACCAGCAAGGATGTTGACAAAGGTGAAACAGAAGGCATTCCATCAGCTGGACAAATACGTAAGTGAAATTAGATGATTAATAGTACAGCTACACAAATGCCTGATTACCAACATTAACATGTATAGAGAAGGAAACAAGTGCAGAAGATAATTTACCCTTTGATCACTTTCTATTCGTATTAAATTAAATAAAACATCCCACGTGGCAACTGGAAGAACCGAAAAAAAGCTTGAGATCAATGATATAATGTCCAGTTTCCAACTAACATTAGGAGACACTCGGGGATTCTCTCCACCAGTACTCATAATATCAACATCTTTGGAATCATCATCTGCGTCCAACTCTACATCCAAGACTGTCATTTTATTGTGCTTTGATGATCGAGATTCTTGAACAGAAATGTCTGGAATAGACCAACCTGGCTGATCTATCTCAGACTGAAGATTATTTGTGCCATCAGAAAATCCCTCGTATAGTTTAGTCAGAGCCTTCAAAAGTCTCTCAAATGATTGGATAACATCATTATAAAATGGAGGATCATCCTCCTGATAGCTAAAGAGCGGTGAACCAGTAAAACTTTTTAAAGAAGTTAATATAGAGTCCATGCCATCAAGACCACCAAAAGAACCATATCCGACATCACTGGAACATTTTTCAATTATAGAAGCAGCATGACCCAGCATTTCTAAGATGTACTGACCAGTCTTGGAAAGGAAAGAAATGTTTTCTTCTTTGAACCTGAAGGAAACAAAAGCATGGGTTACTATATGATGTGAACATGACAGAGAAGACCGCATGTATATGATAAGTTTCTACTTTACTCTCTCCAATGAATCCTAAAACATTAATCATCGCATGAAACTTCCATCTCTGCCCATCCAACCCCCCCCCCTCAAAAAAAGTAAGAAAAAAGGAAATCCGATAATGAACAACAATTACATGTTGAAATGAATAAAATTATTTGGTAAATAGTTCAACACCACAAGAAAATTTAGAGTAGTGTTAATTGTTCCAGTGTAATAGGTGTTTCCTTATGTAATTATTACATATGGATGACCATTTAAACAGATGTTCATGAAAGCCGGAACATACCTTGTAACATATGAACCATACATGAAATTCGACAAAAGAGCACATAGAAAGAAAACATCTGATAGATTCATCTTTTCAATCTCCTTATTTCCTAGAACTTCAAGAATGTTGAGCTCCATTTCATGAAGCAGAGAGTCCCTCAAATGACGGGGAAGGCGCACCTTCTGGTCGCACGGAGATTGGGCTGTCTGAAAAACAAAAAGTGATTGCTACTTAGATGTCAACAAAGCCCAGAGGAACATTTCTGTGGTTCCACCAGAAAAATCCATCAACGTGGAAAAGAGTGTATGAGGGAAAGACTGGAACCTCTGTATAAGGGTCGAGAAAAATTTCAGCAAGCACTTCCACAGAGCAATCAAACAGATCATGTGAACTTTCCTGCTCTAGTTTTTCAACCTATCAGATAGCTATATTCAGTATTACAGCTAAAAGTAGCCAAATATCAACAAACAGAATCGAAAGCAATATTCAGTATACCTCCATGCTGTCATCAACAGTTACAGGGATATCTACAAGCAGGTGAGCCAAAGAACATCCTTTAACACAGTTTGCAAAACAAGCAGAACCAGCACAAAGAGAGAATACAGCTGCTGGCAACAATACAGCCATTTGCTCATTGAACACCAAACGTTCCTGAATAAGACGGTACCAGTAATTAATCATACCAGAGCACTGTCTAGTTAGAACCCTCAATTTTCACTAATATGGTCACCACAGATTAACATAGAAATTGTCCAACAAAACACAACTGAAACCCAATATCGCAACAATGAACCTGTTAGGGCCTAGGGGCAGTTTGTTTGTGGCTTACTTGGCTTAAGGGTAATGGGGCTTATTCTCTCAGCTATATCAGAGTGTTTGTTTGAGGCTTGATGATTAAGCATTCAGCTGATTTTGCTTTATGGATTAAGCCCTAACCCCCTAGCTTTATAGATTCAGCCATTTTCCTTTTGTTATTTTTCAAACTCTGCCCTTCTCACTCGACCATATTTCCTTCTGGATTCAACCCCCTGTTGGCCAACGCCTCCTTGTCCTCGCCCTTCCCTGCGGCTCCCTCCTCACCATGGCTGGTCGATGCCTCACACCTCATCCTCGCCATTCGCTACTGCTCCCTCCTCGCCACGGCCGATCGACACCTCCCTCCCCATCCTCACCTTCACTATGCACCCACGACGCCGCTTGCAGGCTGCCCCCGTCCTCGATCTACTACTCCGCTCCGTTCCTCCCTCCTCTGTAGCCACTGCTGACTGCTGCTGCGTTGACCGAACAGGTTGCTGCTGGGGATGGGATCTCGTTTTGGGGCTGTAATCCATTCCTCTATGTTATTTTTCTCCTGATCTGTTTTTCTTATTGGGGCTGGAATCTCGTTTTAGGTCAGGAAATCGTTCCTCTATTTTGTTTTTCCCCTGATTGGTTTTTCTTCGTGGGGCTGGAATCTTGTTTTAGGGCTGACTTACCAGCAATAATTGTCAATTAGGTTGTTACAGTAGCAAGATTTTGAAGCTAGTTGGTATAAAAAGTCATGCCAGAAGATCATAAAATTTAGCACTGGTCCCATAAAAATGCCAAATAGGTTGTTCATAAAATGGAGCCATGGTTCCATAAAATTGTCAATTAGGTTGTTCATAAAATTGAGCTTTGGTTCCAATCTTCATACTGTGGTAGTATATTTCATTCCTTGATTCTGGAAAAGGGATAAAATGGTCGTGTTTGTATTCAGACAGTTTATTCAGCAAAAAGCAAACAGCAATTTATCTAAATCCATACAAACAGCTTATTTCATACAAGACTCAATGGAAAAAACAGCCTCTTAGCTCATGTCATTGTCACACAGCAGGATAGAATTTGTTTCTGAAAATAATGATGATGAAACGAGAATCAGGGTGAGGCTAAGGAGTCTCTCATGGGTATTATATGAGTGACTCAAGCTCCTTGGATTATGGATGATTGATCGAGTTACATGTGAGTGACCATACATTGTGATGTAGGTCAAGCTACATAAAGAATTATGAATGATTGACTCAACCGTAAGGGATTGACCTACATTTTTCCGATGATGTAGGTCAAGCTGCATGTGTTCGACCATACAAATTCTTTTATGACTTTGCCTATATGTACATTTATTTTTATGCCCGTATGTTGAACAATGAGTAAGGATAGACCCAAACTAGTAAACATATAAACCAAAAAGAAAAAACTCGTGCTGCCAGGTAAACATATTAACCAGAACTAATGTATAGTCAAAAGCAGAGGAATCAAAAATAATCAAGTACAACAAAATAGACCAGAAAGTGATTTTTCTTTTTGAGTTATGAGACAATTAGCATCCAATAGAAAAGTTTTACGCTTTGTTCTCGAGTCCGTTTTACGAATTAAAGGGAAGAAAAGAAAACGTATTCTCGAGTTCTTTCAGGAAGGGAGGGAAAGAAAAAGGAAGGAAAACAATGATAATTTCCATCCCAGAATTTCGCTCTCAAACGTGGGAGGAAAAGAAAGGAAAGAAATAATAACAACAAAAAGTATTTATAAAATTACAATTCACCAAATAAATAAGGGTATTTGGAATATTGACATATTTCCTTTCCTTTTTCTCCTACTCAAAAACATGAAAACTTATTTTCTTTCCTTCCCTTTCCTTCTTTTCCCTTCACTCCCAAGAACACAAATGAAAAAAATTATTTCGTTTTCTTTCCTTTCTTTTTCTTTCTTTTCCTTCTCTTTCTTTTCTTTCCAAATCAGAGAAAACAGCACTAGCTTATAGGCAGACGGAAATGACAACCCTGAAGATACATCGGAAGGAACAACTAAACAGCACATTATAAAAAACAAACCTTCCAATTAAGCAATGTCATAACCGTCCTCAAGAGATCTTTTCTCAAATGTAAAACGTCCCACAGATCATCCTACACAAATAAGCAAAAAGCAGTAGAAGTAATGGTGGCAAAATGTCAACAAGCTTTTCGAGGTGACAGATTAACTCCACAAGGGAAGGGATCTTAAACCAATCTACACCACTTCTTTTTCTTAAATAAAAGCAGGTCATAAAATTTGGGGATAATAACCATCTTTGTAATGACGGTATATAGTTCTTAAATAATATCTTCATGTAAACAATGTGAAAATACCAAATACTTTAAGCATCAAAGCAACTACCCCCTAACCACTTACATGGGATCCTTTCTTCGAAAAATAGCCTGCTATGAAGCGTAAAAGAGACCTGGTACATTGTTATAACAGCATATTTATAAGAACATGAGAATGATACAGAAACAGGGAGATTCATGAAGGCACCAAAAAATTAATGTTTAAAATAAAACTTCAAAGAGCGGATGAAAATGCTACAACTGATTGATAATACTATAGCTTCCAAAAAAGATAGTTAGAAGTGATCAGTTGAATCAGATATGATAATCAAGAATCAGTAAAGAAAGGTAACCTACACTGATGGGGAATTTTTAAATAACCGGAGATCCCATACATCATGAGCTATAATAAAGCTGTTCATTGAATCCTGAAAGCAAAATGCAAAACGGAAATCTTCAAACTTCAAACTAATTATATCCCCCCTAGGGGAAGAAAATATCAAAAAAGGGAAAGACAACTAGTTCATCAGCATGGCATACTTACACTCAAATTAATATTTCCAAGGAGTATAAGAGCAGCATCTGCCTGAACAAAGCCAGAAGAAAGGTAATGGGCATCATACTACAATATAAGCATCAAAATGGGAAAATATTTTGTTTCAATTTTATTATAAACAATGGACACCATTTTCTTCTGTTGCCACCAAATGTTTCTCACTGGTCATTATATGCTACCTTCCAAGTGTGCAGCAGAGCTGACAAGCCTCCATGTGTGCTTGAAGTAGAATAACAATTTTAAGTATAGTGAAAGATAACATATAGCCAGTACTAATCTTGCAAACAATTTGTTCAAGTATAACTGCGCAACATGTCTAAAAGGGTTTCCAAGTAGGTAGATGCAGTTAAGCACCACAAATTCAACCTTATGCAATAAGAAAGAAGTGACGACTTCATCAAATTAAAGCAATCATGTTAAATACTTACAACTGATGGAACATTATTGAACATTGGCAAACCACGTAGTAGAGTGTTCCATATAGTAAGCCAGCCTCTGTACAACTGAGAATTTTGCAAAATTCAGTTTATGAGTGATGACTGAAAAAGGAGAGAAATAAGTTTGAATATAATATTTTCCTTCCAATCTGCAATGATACGCACCATTAGCTTTAACAATCTACGACCAACCAGAAGATTTTTACTAGTGTATAGCAAAGTAGGAAAAAGCTTCATTTTAGTTATGATGGTAAAACAGAAAATACATACAACCATACAAGTAGCCAGTGAAAAGACTTACCCATTGTCCAAAATAAAGAGCACTGGAAAATAAATATCACTAACATAGTAACACTCCTTAAGTTGGAGCATATAAATCGATAATGCATAACTTGCTATATATGAATGTAACTCAGGTTTCCTAAAGACCCCTTCATGGTGCAGGCAGATGGATGACCTGTCCAGAAGTCAAATCAATGGAGATGTTGTGGTTGCACCTACAACTTGACTGTGCAACATATGCCAACTCACCTCAATTAGTTGGGATCCGTTAAATACTTTAGCTTCTATAATACATATAGCTGGCAAACTTATGCACTGCAATCATGGAACACAGTCAAGGACTCTATGCTCATATAAAACCTCTAGTCCACATCTCACACAAATTGCATGTCATTGCACACAACTATGACTACATCTAGAAAGCAACTGCCTGTATTTGCTCTTCCAGGATACGAGATTAGCACCACAGTTGACAGCAACCACTGGCGGATCTTCTAGTACAATGTCTGGTCAGCATCTAAAAAGCCTCCTATCTTTGGTGTCCAGCTACACCATTATGCAAAGCTTTAACACACAAAGATTCATGTAAAATCGACTGGCAAACCATATGGGTCATGCATTATAAGGTATCATGCTCTTGAGCATCATCACTCCAGCACGAATTTTAAAGAGGTTCAAGTAACAGCACAAGGTTGACAGAACACAAAAATTCACTTCTGGGTTTCATTACATAGACCCGAATAGCACATGAATGATTACAAGATATAAACTAAGAACAAACCAAATTAGCAGGGACCCCAAACATGATAAATGGATGACGAAAAAAATGAACTGCTCTACAAAACACTCCTAGCTGGTTGATGTTTGTTTGGTCTCACAACTGACATGACTCCTAGTAAAGAACTTCAAATGGATTAGGATTTCGATCCAAGTATCCCCAAATTCTGGAAAGAAGATGGGTCAGTTTCTAATGAACATCCCTAACAATGGTATCACTAAGATATTGTCAAAAATGCATGCACTTGAACAATGTCCAGTCAACTATTATTTTTCCAGACCAACTAAATGAAAAGAAACTTCGTGACACCTGATTATTGACGAGTTCCGCTTTTTCTGAGCACTCCACTCCATATATAGAACAGAGAAGAACTGATGAGAGTCCTTGAAGACTCCTACAAGTGAACAAAGACAAATGTAAGTTCATGAAGATAATACGAGCTAACAAGACTGTAGGGAATCACAAGGTTGGGATGTCGTAAATTGTGTTTGACATGTGTGTATGGTTCAAGTTTTTCAATCATCTAAAATCAGCCACAAGAACATTTGAAATGACACATACCGTAGAGTCCACAGAAGATCGTCATAAGCATGCTCCATGGTTGCTGCATTCATCATTCTGCAATAAACCCACATTTACAATACAACCAGTATCTAATTAGATAGCTCCAGAAGTGCTTGAAGCATTATATGTTAAGTAACAATACTAGAATATGACTGGCAATATAGAGAACTATATAAACAGAGAATGCTGCAACTTATGTCAGAAGCAAAACAAGTAACACCGTCATCTCAGTTTTAGTCCTAAATGATTTGGATACTCAAAAACGTGTCCATATATGCATATACATATGTGCGACTTGAGCAATCAGAAAGTGATCTTGAAGAGGAAAACACTGAAACCATAGCCTAATATGAAGAATATCACAACGGTTATTCGATGTTAATGCAAGTTGGATGGTGGAACAGCGTCAACACTCAACAAGTGGGAAGAATTGTTTTGGATACAAAGGGATATCAAGCAATGCTCCCATGTCTGTCAAGTTCTTTTATTGGATGGATGAATTACTATGGAAAGACATATTAATACAGTTAGCTTAGTTAAAGAATACCCTGCAAAAATGCAGCATGCTGAACCTGGACCTCAAGCAATGCTCTCATTTTTTTATTTTTCCAGTCCATTTTTGTGCCTTATTCAGATGTTTATTCATTTTTAGGGAATTCCTATCTACTTTAGGATGAATAACAACTGTTCATCATGGTGTTCCCTATACAGTAATTACATGCAACTTCGAGACCACATAATATGTTGGATTTACATGATCGGATGTCAAAAGCAAAATATTAAGGATTATTTTGTTTCCTTTCTTGTTGTATTTCTCTTTGTTGTTTTCCTTCTGTTTCTACTTGAATTCATATCATCTTCTTATGTGCTAATTCTTCATAATACTCTATATGGTTTTTTTACTTTGTGAGCTAAAACCCAGAAAATATACACATATATATACGGACCCATTAACATATTTAAATAGTATCATCTCATAAGCCAAATGTGAAAGAAAACAACTCCAAAAGGCATCTAGCATACAGTTGTACATGAGTTGCACAGCACTATATTTTCAGGTAAAAGTTTTCACTCATCTAAGATATCAAGATAGTACATAGAAGGAGCAAAATAATAATATTAACCTTCAATAACCTCTAAATGAACTTCCAAAAATTAGATAATGTCCATTTTTTTGTAGATATACATTAGCATCCCCAGTACAAATTATATGCCTTCCAAGTCTAGGCTTTCATATAGATGCAACTGGGCTTGATCAAAGAAAGAAGGAAATCAAAAGAATATTCTTGGATGGCTGGACCACGTTTCTTGTTCACACCATGTTGTCATTTACACTAGCTAGGAAGACACTGTGTGTGTGCCGATAAGCTAACACAACAAACTGGCATAAACTATATATTCAAGTAGATTTACCTCTCAAAGTTTGTAGATAATCCTTCAAACCAGTAGATAAAATGATCATGTTTTATGCGACTAGAGTAATTGCGAACAAGGAAGCAAAATGCTGCATTCCTGCCATGGAAGCAACACCCTCAAATTGTTAATCAACTTATTACAGAAACATAAGTCGATAACATAGTATAAAACAATTGAACATTTTTAATAGTAATACTATATGTCATCCTGCACTTTCTCATTAACCCATCAAAATATTGATAAGTTCGTGATTAATGAACCTTCATGCCAAGTGTGAAGTATGCTCTCAAACTCAACATTTCCATTTTCTTTTGGCCAATCTTTGTTTATCAAAAGAAAATGGGATCGATATCTTATTCAAATTTTAAAAACTAGGGACAAAAAATTGAAGCAAAACCACCTTAGTGGTGAAAGTTATCATAGGAAGATGCTTAAGCCAAATAATTCAATGTTTGGTATCTTGAAATTAGAAAATTCTTAATTGAGGTGAAAACGCATATGCATATCCGGGCACGATATCGTAACGCTGACGAATAAATGAACTTCAATGGAAAAACTGACCAATGTTCAAATATACACAAGACTGCTTGCCATGAACTATACCAAAATGTTGGACTTACATTGTTGCTCAGTTTAACCCAAACATGCAACTAAATACAGAGCAGAATATGATGTAAAAAGTAACCTACAGAAATTGGGATTATAAGAATTCAATTAAACCAGCTGTATTGGCATAAGGTATTTGTAAATCCATTATCCCAAGAATAATCCCCATAAGAGTTAGACCCCAACTTCGGAACTTCCCATGTTCAATGGATGTATTATCATGATAACATAAAGGGGAAAGTTTACAAGTCACGGATATGTAAGTGTGACTAAACATCGGTGCATAACTTACCAAGACCACTTTCCTTTAATGATTTGTTCGTTTAAATAGACAACAGCATGCTCCCTCCTGGCTCGTTTTTCAGCTACAGGTGCTTTGCATGAAATAAGGCATGCCTGGAAAAGTTCAATCACTTGTTACCTTTATTGAATCTTACTGATGTAAACATGTATAGAACTTGCAATTAGAGACGCCTTTTAATCGAACTTATAAGATTATCATGCACAAACTTATACCATGTTAAAGAACATCTTCAGATATAAACAAAAAATTTATAAGAATTAAATTATAAAGAAAAATCATGACCGCGATCCAAATACTCCTATGATGATCCAAACAAATATCTACAGATGTGAATCAGATTGAATGAAAAAAATAAGAAGAAGAAGAATCTTCTAGAACTTTGAGTTTCAGTACATTGTAGATTACTGACCCGACAAAAAACAATAGCTGCAAGCTCCAGCAAACTAGATTGTGAGCTTGTCAAGGTACCTCGCTTATCATCCCTGTTTGTATCGTTCCTAGATAAATTGCATTTGCATGACCGTAAATACAGCTTCAGTCAAGACGACAATGTGATGATAATAATGATGCACTTAGAAACAGAACTTACCACGGCAGACTGGTAGCAGAAGTACTAATTTGATCTAGTTCCTTTCCTATTATATCCAAAAGTTGTTCCAATAAAATACTGCCATCAGTAGCACCCCTTACTAATTTCAATTGTAACCTGCCGTACAAAACAAGGGCATCCTGTGGAAGAAACAAAGAGGCATAGACTTACTTCAGAGTTGTGCATGCTATCATATAGTGATCATAAAGAATAATTAAACAACCTTCAGACGACGATCATGGGTCGTTACCCAAACACGAAAAAGAAATTGATGTACAGCATCATGAATTTCTAAGGATCGAGATCCCATATTCGGACCATCCCTAATCAAATATGTATTTATACACTCAACTAATTTGCGCAAAATCTTCCCCTCATCCCTGAAAATGAAACAAAATTATGCACTGTGCTATGAATATAATGGTGGAAAGAGAACGCCAATCTCAAAAGCCATACCAAACAGCAAAGTTAGAAACGCTGATTATTTATGCTATTACCTTAAATTAGAGAAAATCTCAACAAAACCTTGTGTTATTCCTTCCTGAAGATCATTAGAAAAATCTCCAGGAGGACTATCAAGAAGTGAATGAAGCGTGAGGATGCACCGAAAGACCTCCTCCTTGGGATTTGATTGTCCAAAATTACGCTCACTCAAGCTTGTCTCAACCTTTCCCATGTACAGAAGCACCAGACCTTGCCAAATCATGATGAGAATGATGAGATGATTTGGAGCATATATTTATTTCTAAAAATTATCAGAGACCTTTGAGGCCCTTCAGGTGCTAGCTAAAGAGGTACTCACTAGAATACACACGCTTCCTCAAGTGAAACTGAAGATGTTTAACTTCCAAAAGATGCCGTAGAATAATTCCATACTCTGACTGGAAGCTTGGAACATCCTTTAAAATATCCCATATATGATTGAAAAGTAACTTTGCCACAGATAGAAGATGCAAACTTTTGCCTGTCAACAGATCACACGAAACAATGGTATGACTTAATTGTATGAAATGTACTTGATACTGTAACATAAAGTGCATCCTGAACATATTATGAATCCTACTATTATGAGAAATCTAACAGAAGCTGAAGTACTGCACTTGATATGTCAACTCCTGTGATGATTATGAATGTTACTGTCATCCTTCTACTGCAAAGAGGTGACATGGCTCTGTTTTCTAGCTTCAATCATTACAATTTTTTACTGTTTAGAATCCTAGACTAAAGAAAAAAGGCTCCTGAATCAGCACAGATGTTATGCTTCCATTTCAACATTTCTCAACAAAATCTAGCATACATGGTTTCCCTCTATAGTGTTGAAAGAGTATTTATCAACTTGTGACCTCAGACTTTCCATCATTGCTCATCCCAGCTGTCATTCCATATCAGCCACCTCTCTAGAAAATGGATCACTAGTTCCTGATATGTTGAAGGTGGGTGATGCCAAGGCACTATTGCGTATCGTACACTGAATTTTGCTTATTTTTTTACACCAATCAATCTAGATCCAAGTATGAGGTAATTTCATTAAACCACAATGTATTTCCGAACGAACAGCTGGTCATCAAAAAGCAACATGGAGCCCTATGACACTGTCTTTATCGACAATTCAAGATGCTGTCTTCTTCCAAATTCCAATGTGATTTATCATTGTTGCCGGTATCAAAAAAACAAAAGTAAATCATTTTAGAGCCAATAATAATTGTATAAGAGGAAATATGCAAAAACCAAACAGTGAACATTTAGTGAATGATGGCTTCCATGGGAAAAATATCCAATACCAGTGCCATAGTGGAGCTACATCAGGCTGATTGACGGTATACACACATGCAAGACAACAGTCTTTTTCTTATAAAACTGGACACAAACACATACCATCTTCTGCTCTTAGTACCACGATTCTAAGAGTTTTTGCAAATGCCAATTTCGGCAAGCGCCTCTTGCTTGAATATACCTCCAATGATATAGCTTTAGTGAGCAATTTAACAAGAAAGGGCCACGTTTCAGCTGCAACAGCAAAAAGATCATCAAACCTCAGCTCGCTTGCAAGGTTTTAATAAGCATGAATACAGCACAATATATGTATTATGTGTGCGTTTAACTGAGGCATGTCCAACATCGGATGGATTAAAACTTCTATTCAATGCATTTCAGAGCTTCCAAAAATCAAAGGGTAAATAATCTTCAGGGATTGCTGGAGGTGTTGTTGGACTGATAACTTCCGTTAATAAAATTCAGTCCATCCAATTAGTACGGCTCAGAAGTTCCCTGATAACTAATGATCGTATAACGAATTTCCAGGTTATCAATTAAATTTGCAATGCATGATTGATCTTACCGTGTGGTATGTCATGAGGTTTGAGCATTGATGTATTCCGTCCTAAATATCTACAAAATTCGATCAACCTTTCTCCTTCTAGCCATGTATTTAACAACTTAATCCCTTCCTGAAACCAAAAACCCACAAAAAAAATCAAAAATAACAAAAACGAAATCTAAAATCACACAAACGGATTTGGTAAGCATTAATTCTATTAAGTTTTCTCTTATATTGATCGATCAGACAAAAAAATGGCGAGTAAAATGAAGAAGTTACTTCACGGGCTTTGGCTTTATCAGATGAAAGCTTTAAGACGATCTCTTGGACATCTCCAGATGTGACCATCGCATTAGAAGAGATGAAGACAAACAATCGAAAATGTTTCACTGATGATTTGGAGAGATAGCTAGGGTTTTAGTGATGATTTGGGGGGGATAGCTAGGGTTTTACTGTGTCAGTTGGCTCGTTTCAAGCGGGTTTAAGTGGCGGGATATCAGAGAATAGAGATTGCCAAAAGAGGGTTTCAAGACAAACAAAGGTTTTTCAAATGAAAAATTATGGTGGACAGATGTAGATTTTCCCACGAATTAAGCCACGAATGCGTATTGTCGGAAAACATTCCCTACCCTCTCATCTCTCTAGATTTTGCGAATACAACTTCAAACTATCAAGGGGTTGTTCGGCAATTGCTTAATGGTTTGGTATAAAATGATTAAAAGGCTCTTATGATATAGTATAAAATGAAATATAATTATTTGGTAATTGTGTACAATGAAATTAGGACTCTTAATGGTTAAGGGAGATCAAGGATACAAAATCATTCAGAGGGTTTTATAACCATTAAGAGGTCGACTTCTTTTTTTTTGCCAAATAAGATTCATCTCTTAACGATTCAGAGGTTGCCTCTTAATATAACTATTAAAAGATAAACAAACAACCCCTAAGTGGTTGTTTGGCAGATGTTAAATGGTTTGATTCAGGGTAATTAAATGACTCTTGTGATATAGTATAAAATAAAATATAATTATTTGGTAATTATTTACAACGAAATTAATGCGTTGAATGGTTAAGGGAGACTCATGATACAAAATCATTCAAAGGGCTTTATAATCATTAAGAGACAGATTTTTTTTTTGTCAAACAAGATTCATCTTTTAACGATTCATATGTTGCTTCTTAAATGAAACTATTAAGACGCAAAAAAAACAACCCCTAAGCATGTTCTTTAATCTTTAAATAAGATGATTAAAAGTCAAACTCTCAAAAAAATTACATTCTCTGTCTAAATATTTATTTTCAATATTTTCTACTTATAGTATTAATTGGTAATCATTTTTTGGTTGTTCTTCATATTTTGAGAACAAACTTTTATCTCTCATACTTTCTCCATTTTGGAGATAGTTTTAAGAAAGCTGTTAGAGCAAAATATTAGCTCAATTTTCTCCATTTTGAAGAAGTTTTGTGATAGTTGGGTTTGTGGTTAAAACTTTTGACGACGTTTTTGGATAAGTAGTGAAAGTTGAGGGGTGCATTTCGAAAAATTTGTTTAAAATATTTCTTTCCTTCAAAATCAACTTTTAGTGCTGGTGGGAAAGTTATCGATGACCATCGCGCCTCTTTAGGGGCGAAGACGATAGATATACTCATTAGCGGAGATGATTGATATCATCATCATCATGGACTACACAAAAAGAAAACCAAGATAATTTGCTTAATCTTGTCGATTATAATATTCGTTTTCTTACAATAACCAATAATTATTTTGTTTGTTTGTTGTAGGAAACTTATGACATGATATATATTGAACTTCCATAAGGTGATAGATGATGGTGGTGAATTGTTTTTTTTTTTTTTTTGATTCAAATGATGATGGGTGATGAATAGTGATTGTTTTGTGTATATTTAAATTATGATTAATTAGTGTGTAATGGTTAATCGAATGACAAATAGCAGTGTTCGTTTGTTTATATTCGTCTAGACTTGTTCGTTATGTTAGTTTCTTTACGTTCGTTCAGCATGTTAACGAACACGAACATACCTGATTTCTAAACGAACGATCACGAACGCAAAGATTTTCGTTTGTTTATTGTTCGTGTTTATTCATTTGTTCGGTTAAATCAAACGAACGAACATGAACAAACATTTGTTCGTGTTTGTTCGGTTCGTTTACAGCCCTAACATGCATAACTATATTGTTTAGGTCCCTTACGTTTTTCAGCACTTCTTTTACAAGTATTTAATTAAAAAACATATACACTTAAGAGGGTTTTCTCAACATTAAAATCATAAATTTTCTTACCCCTGCGTCGTCCGGACAACCACGGTTAAATAATAATAATAGAATGTTGAACATTTTTGTTTCAATAGATCTTTTAAAACTCTACGTAAATTTACCAAATCCCTCTAATTCCATAAAATCCAGATCCCTCAAAATCATTTCATCAAACAAAAACATCCCCTTAGGGTTCTTATTTAATATGTATAATTTAGTAAGTTTTTTTTAATAATATAATATTTATATATGGCAAATAGAACAAATAAACTCACACACCCTCCTCAACTTTGGTGAAGTTTGGACCTTTGACTTTATAGGAGGTCAAAGACTCATATACCACTAGGCCAAAGACCATTTGGTATAATTTAGTAAGTTACTGTATTATTTATCTCGTTTTTGCTCTTCTTATCTTGATAGGAAAAAAAAAATACTTTTTTGTTCCGTTCGATCTTAATACTACACCGAACGTAGGACACAATATTTTAACATATTTTGTTATGTGTAGCTTTACAACATGTCATATTGTTTGGAAGCATTTATTGTAAAAATGCCATCTTTCTTGTCGATTTGAAACATGGATTTGTTGAAGATGTTATAAACATCTCCTACGAGGATTTATCGTTCTCGAGAAGATTTGTGTCGACATTCTCGATTTAATAATATAATTTTTTTATAAAGATAATAATTAAACATTATCTTAAATGTTAACGAGTATTCTAATTATATTTTAGATTTTTTATATTTAAATGAGATGTTTATCTTATATTTAATTATGTTCATATATAGTTAGTTACACAAACAAATTCAAAACGAAGTTTTAATAAGTTGTACTTACACATAATTTACTTGTAATTTTGAATTTTAAGTAATATGTATCAATAAACAGTATTTTTATGCATAAAAAATGATTCTTAAGAGTTTTTTTTGTCAGATACTTTATAATGTAATATAGATTAAAAAATACAAAAAAAGCTTTTGAAAGATTTGACCATAACAGTAAGTATTTGAATGTTTAATTATTTAGTGGAAATCTGATGTATATATATCAAGTCTTTTAAAGACTTGACCAATGCAGATGCTCTTATAAAAATAGTACGACCAACTAGTATTTAAGAATTTTTGAAACATAATTAAATAAATATATATATATTTATATAATATTTAAAAATCATGTATGTATATATTGAGTTTTCGGATGGGTCAGTGGCCATCAAACAAATTCAACTTGAACTCAAATATCCCCAAAAAAAACTTAGGATCCGAATTTTCGAATTAAATACATTTGGATTTATATAAACACCTTATTTTCCGTTCGTATATGGTTTTTTTGAGTTGGTCTTATATATGTGTATATATATATATATACCATTCCTTGTTTTTATAGAGATTTAAATCTTTAATCTTTTGGTTTGTTGGGATGGATCAACCCTATAACTTATTTAAAAAAAAAATGGACTAATCGATTACGATAAATCGGATCGGATTTTGCAGTTTCAAGTCTACCGATCTGTTATGATGCCTCAGCTACAAAAAGCTGACATAGATGTTATGGGTATAATTACTTTTGTAAGTTGGTTCACCTCGATGTCGACTCTTCGCCACCTAGGGCTGTAGTATGTTCCTTCACAGGCCAAGAACTACGAGACCACCCTTTCATTATGGATACAACAAGGTATACTCAACATAAATTAGGCGTTTAATGGTTATTGCTCCCAGTGGACAATTTGTATATATATATGCATCAAGATTCCAGAAAATTATCGCATTAAAAACAAATGTCTGATGGCAAGTTGGTCGGTAAATTCAATAAGAAATGGGGGTTAGCACACGATTTTGTTAGTACCATCCAACCGAATCCAATTTAATTGTTTATTTGTTCAATTTCAATGAGTGAATTTTCAGTGGAAACTCTTGTTGGATATTGTCCCAAAAAAAAAAAGTCAGAATATGGTTACCCAAATAGGCCTCACTTATTGGTATATGATCAAATTTTCCTTTTGCTTTTACATATCGAGAAATATCTCTTGTTCTTATTATAAGATGAGAACCAACTATCGAATATTGATTAATACGTAATCGATCGAACACTACTTGAAAACGGCTCTTATGTTGATCAATTATCTTCTAAAACACAATTCATAGATAGACATGATATTAAAAGTGATCAATGAATCAAACTCTTTACGCTTATCACCGTAACTTTCTTTTCTCACATGATTCTTCGCCTTGGGTTGTTAGACTCTCTCGATAACCTGAACACCACTAGTTTAACAGTCATTCTGTAACGTGTGTATCTTTATGGATAAGTGATTAACGATCGACATAATTCAACATTATCGTCAAATAGTGGTTTTGTCCTGTTATCCTAATTTTGTTTTTTTATAAATGTAAAGTTGGTATAATTGTGACAAAATAACTCTCTGTTTAATAATTTATAAATTTAATTAAATAATTCAGGTTGTTAAAAAAAATTCATTTTTTATTTTATTTTCAAGTGGTGTTTGATTCATACAAATCAATCTTAAAAGGATGATTTGTCTTAAGGTGACCCATTCTTTTTAATAAAAATAATTAAAAATTTAGTTTTTTTTTGTTTAAAGTTATTAAGCAACTGATTGTTGGGATTAATGAGAATGTAAATAAAAGAAACTGTTTTGTATCATATAATATAATGAGGTTATTCTTTCGGAAATCCAAATCTTTATTTCAGATTAAACTGGAGGAATGAAAATTCACTCTCATTTTCATTTTATAGTATGAACCAAATAGACCCTTAATTTTATATAATATAATAAATTTATTATTTGACAAAATGCACAAAATAACAATCTACTTTCATAAATTTCTTTATTATAGCATTGTACTTACAGTTTTTCTTATTACAACAATGTACTTTAAAATTATTTTTTATTAAAACATTGTACTTTGAAATTTTTATCCATTATAACATTGGGTAACCTTTTTATTTAAATTTACCCATTATACCAGGTTTCCATGCCACCTCATTGTTCACATAGGTTGTCTACATACACTATAGTGATGTGACTTTCTTATTACAACATTGTACTTTCAAAATTATTTTATTATATAGCATCTACCAGTTCTTATTAAATAATGTACATTTAATTTTAATATTTAGATATTTTACATGTTATTTAATAAATATATTAAATGAATTAAAAAAATTCTAAATTATTCATTAATATACCA